TTTACTAGTTAACTACTTTTTGATATCTTTCAAAAGAAGTGAGATACTTAGGCTCAAAGTGGACGATCCGGGTGTCGTTCTATTAGAGGTTTTACGGTATCCTGAACTATGTGAAACTATTCAAATTTCCAGACAACCTGTGCGCCTCCTCCCCCTGCGTCCACGGTCTCTGCATCGACAAACTCTACTCCCGAGAGTGCCTCTGCGAACCCGGCTGGTCCGGCGACAACTGCGACATCAATATCGACGAATGCGCCGACTCCCCCTGCCACAACGACGCCAAGTGCCACGACGAGATCAACGGCTACAAATGCGAGTGTGCTGATGGATACGAGGGTGTTCATTGCCAACATCTAGTCGACCATTGCTCAAAGAACCCCTGTCACAACAATGCCACATGCACCAATATGGGACCAACCTACCATTGTGATTGCTCTCTAGGGTTTGATGGGGTACACTGTGAGATGAATGTGGATGAGTGTGCTCAAAACCAATGTGAGCCCTCTGGAACCGAGAGTTGTCGAGATGGAATCAACGAATTCAAGTGCGTGTGCAAGCCAGGCTACACCGGACCTCTCTGCGGCACCAAACAAGACCAATGTGCCGATTCTCCATGCCTCAACGATGCCCAATGCGTGGACCTGGGTGGATCCTTCAAATGCGTCTGCAAACAAGGCTGGACCGGACCAAAATGCGAACAAGACAATGGATCCTGCGCCGCGAAGCCTTGCAGGAACAATGGTTATTGTGTAGGACTTGTAGGAGACTACTTCTGCGTGTGTCCCCCAGGTGTCAGTGGAAAGAACTGTGAGACTGCTCCGAATAGATGTATCGGAGCCCCATGTCATAATGGTGGAGAGTGTGGCGATTTCGGGAGCCATCTAGAGTGCAGCTGTCCCGCAGGATTCACAGGAAAGGGGTGTGAATTCAGGAACACCGGATGTGGTGCGGATTCTTGTAAGAACGGAGGAGTCTGCGAGGAAGCTGGATCTCTGAAGAAATGCTCCTGCCAGCCTGGCTTCACCGGCGAGCACTGTGAAACCAACATCGATGAATGCCAAACCACCCGCTGCCCATCTGGATCCCAATGTTTGGATCAAATAAATCATGCTATCTGCCAATGTCCCTTCAATCTAACCGGAGTACATTGCGACAAAATGATCAATACCAATTACGATCTACAGTTCCTGGACCCCTTCCGCCCTACCACTGCTAGCCTTTATGCTCCATTTAGGATAGAGTCCAGCGCTTTATCAGTTGGTCTCTGGGTGAAATTTGAGAAGCCACACCAGCCGGCAAGCTTCTTCAGGCTGCACAGCTTCCAGAATGGATCTCAGACGCTTCTAGAAGTATCTTCCAGTTCTGTAAAACTCTCTTTGTTCCCCTCCGACACCATCGAGGTCCCCTTCTCCACTTCCCAGTCTCTCAACAATGGAAAATGGAATCACCTTCTTATCACCTGGAAATCCACCACTGGCGCCTACTCAGTCATCTGGAACTCGCTTCGAATCTACTCCAACACTGGATACGCCCCCGGGAAGCAGTTAGATGTGCAGGCAGGCGTTACCCTAGGATCTGGAGCACTTCCAAGCTTCGTAGGATCCATCGCCAGAGTTGGGGTATGGAACAGAGTGATTGATTTTGAGGAGGAGCTTCCGCTGATGGTTCAGCATTGTCAGCGATCCGAGGAAGTTTATAAGGGGCTTCTAGTGAGGTTTGAAGGCTACAGTAAGATTCAGGGAAGAGTGGAGAAGACGCATAAGTCGACTTGTGGAATGGAAGAGGGTCCCAAGAACCTTCAACCTCATGGAGGAAAGATCCTTGTAGAAGATTGCCCATCAGATCTAGTGATATCTTCCCTGGATCGAGAGACCAATGTGACCTGGCCAGAACCAAGCTTCCTAAGCTCCGCCTCCAAGATAGAGAAGATTGAGAAGAACCTAAAGCAGGGTCAAATGTTCACCTGGGGAGAATACGACGTACTGTACATCGCAACGGATAATCAGACCAATCAAGCCCAGTGTAACTTCAAAATCCGCGTCGGGAAGGAGAATTGTGTGGATGCGGCGGATCCGGTCAATGGTGTTCAGAGTTGCGAGTCGTGGGGACCACAGTTGAAGTACAAAGCGTGCTCTATTGAGTGTCGAGATGGATTTGAGTTCCCACGGGGTCCGGCGGTGTTTTACACTTGTGCGGCTGATGGGAAATGGAAGCCGAATAAGAGTCCGAGCACCATGTTCAGATATCCGCAGTGTACTAAGTGAGTTTGCAGAAGCTCAGATATCTCGGTTACTGTAAGAGATATCAAGAATTTGTAAACTAATAAATTTTTTGTTTTTTTATCAGCTGCATTTTGTTAGTTGACCATTTTTTAATAGCTCTCACAGTAACCCAGATAAATAGGCTCAAAGTTGACGGTTAGCGCGTCTAGAGGGAGCTAGCTAGTTTTAACCTTGTATATCTCATTTTCTGTAAAAGATATCAAAACGTTATCAACTAACAAAATATCACTGATAATGTGATAAATACTTTATCAGTTGACTAATTTTCAATAGCTCTTACAGGAACTGAGATAAATTGCATCAAAGATGAGAGTTAAAAAGCGCCCTTGCTATCACACAGGTTCAACTGATACTGGTCCTCTTTGAGCCAAATTATCTCGGCTACTGTAAGAGCTAAAAAAATTTTGTTAACTAACAAAAATGTTTATCATATTATCAGCTATATTTAATCAGTTGACCGCTTTTTGATAACTCTTATAGGAACCGAGATAATTTGGCTTATCGCACATTCTTAAAATTCCATAAAACAATTTTTCCAGACACGTCCCAGCCACCAAGGTCGTCATCGTTCGAATCATCTACGGAAGCTCTCCGGCTTGCACTGAATCCTCAAAAGAAGCATTTACCCAAAAAGTGCTCCAAACTATCAATGCAATCGATACCAAGTGGAAGATGTGCTCTTTGACGTAAGTTTCTAAGTTCCAGAGAACTTTTTGAGCTTCTCCGGGCTTTTTAAACGCTTTATTGGTTAAAAATTCTAATTCCCCATGAAAATCTACATTAGAAACCAAGAAAAATAAAAATTTTCATGGTGGCCGAGTTTTTGGATTTTCTAGGCCACAGGGGAAAAGTTAGGCCATGTGCGTTTTTTGACTTGCGAATTATGTTCCTAGGGTAGTTTTTGATGTAGAATCCGATTTTAATGTTTATAAAGTTTGAAAACAGCTTAGAACTTCTGAAAATACCAATTTTCGAAGATGGCAAGCTCCACAACAGCTAAAATTTCCAATTTCAGTGACATAAATGGCTGCGTTGGCACACAGGTTCGTGTGGAGTGCGGTGGACCACCCCTACCTCCTTCGAGACGACGTCGTGAGTCAGAATCAATTCTCGCCTCGACATTTGGTGTCGAAATCGAGATTCCTGTGAAACGACGTCTTCTGACGGATCCATCAACCGGGCAAGAGACAACGATTCGAGATGCGTTGCACAATGAGATTCAATCAGGAGTTTTAAACTTTGAGAAGGTTCTACCGAACGGACGGCCAGATGTGGGAAGTTTGAAGATCCAAGAGGAGTACTTGTGCCAAGCGGGACAAGTGGTTGTGAGGGATCTTTGTGGTGAGTTGGCCTACAGAAACACTTAGAACTTGTGGTATTAATTGGAATTCTACACCACTAGATTTAGCAAGAAAAGAGCTATATTTTACTAGTTGAGGCCTTTTGAATAGCTCTTTGCGTTTTTGAGATATGCGCCTTTAAACTTTGCGCCGCGCGAGGCAACAAGTCAGGCTCGCTTCTCTGCGTCTCTCTTCTTACCTTTTTCCAAAACTTGTTCAATGATTGTTATATCAGTCGATAGCTCTTGAAAATTCCTACAAAACTAGCAAATTTTCATAATTGTAGCTCAATTTGAAGCAAGTTATGCGCCTTTAAACATTTCCCTCTTCTGTAGGGCAGAGGAGACGCAGAGAAGCTAGAACACTCTCGGCTGTCTGCGTCTCTTGGCCAAACTTAAAGGCGCATAACTCGCTTTACTTCGGAGCTAGAGCAATAAAAATTAGTCAGTTTTGCTGGAAATTTTAAGAGCTTTCTAGCGATGTAAATTTTTTCGAAAATTGCAAAAAATCCCGAAAATTTAAAATTTTCGAAAATGTTGAGAATTCAGCATCACCAGAAAGCTCG